TTCCAACAACCTCCTCTGCAAGTGTAACTCACTGCCTTAGCCTTAGTTACTTTGTTGCAAAAATAAGTCTGAGCAGTCCAATTATATTGCAACTTCCAGAATATTGTACAGGGTGCTTAATGAAAAAAAAATACATTAAGTGTTCTACCACTTTCTCTTTGTTTGAGAGAAGACTTCTTTTTAAGTACAGAACTGTAAATCAGAGCAGAAAGGTTTTAAAAAATGGTTCCAATGTTTATAATTTCTTGTAAATCTTGAAAATATAGAAATCAACAAGTATGTTTACTTTAAAAAATTGGATCACTAAAATTAATAGGTATTCTTTGAAAAGCCTATAAAAGAATGTTCCTATTAAGTATTTTTGAGTTAAAACTGACCCTCCAGCGGGTTTTCAAAGGCAGTTATCACAAGGGAGGAGAATGCCTATCTTACTCCCATGGAACAACCAACTAGTGGATTCAAACAGAGTGCCTTTGGGTTGGCAGTGCAACTCCTATTACCAAGCCATCAGAGCCACCTTATATAAGAATACTGAATAAAATAAACACAGGTCATCTTTCCAACAAAAGTGAAAGGCTAGCCAGTGCAGTTTATGTTGTTGTTACATATGGTCAAGTTAGCATTAAATAGATATTTGCAATCTTTAATGTATGGGCAAACTATGGTTAACACTGAGAAGACTGGAATCCCAGAATACTTAATTGTGCTCATGCAAAACCTATACCTAGACAGAGAGGCTATCTTTGGAACAGAGAAAGGAAATACGGAATGGTTCGAAATCAAGAAAGGTGTGTGCCAGAGTTGTATTCTTTCTCCATAGCTATTCAATCCATATGCTGAGCAAATAATTTGGGAAGCTAGACTCTATGGCAGAGTGTGGCATCAAGTTCAGAGGAAGACTCCTTACCAACTGTTTTATGCAGATCCCCCAACTTTGTTGAAAGTGAGGAGGACTTTGAATCATTTACTGCAGAAGGACCAACAATGCAGTCTGGAATATGGATTGTCTCTAAACATCAAGAAAACAAAAACTCCTTGCCACTGGACCAACAGAACAAGAAAGGATTGAGTTCATCAATAATTTCATCTTGCTTGAATACCTGCAGTCAAAAATCAAAAGAAATGTTGCATTGGGAAAAATCTGCTGTCAGGGACCTCTCTAAAATGCTAAAGAGCAAGGATATCCATTTAAAGATTAAAGTGCATTTGAGTCAAGCCACAGTCTTTTCAGTTACTTGCTATGCATCTGAAAGTTGGACAATGAATAAGGATGACAAAAGAAAATGTTATGCCTTTGGGTTTTGGTGCTGGAGAAGAGTATTGGCCTGGAAAGAAACCTGAGCAAATCAACAAATATGTCTCAAAGAAAGTGCAACCAGGGTGCACCTTGGAAACAAGGATGGTGAAGTTTCATTTCATATACTTTGGGCATGTGGTAAGAGGGGACTAGTCCTTGGAAAATGGCATCATACTTGGAAGGGCGGAGGGCCAGTGTAAGAGAGGAAGACTCTCAACAAGATGAATTGACCCAGTGACTATGACAATGGGCTACAATACATCAGAGATGATAAGGATGGTGCAAGATGGATCAGGTCCATTGTTCAAGGGGTTGATATGAGTTGTAGTCAACTTGAAAGCACATAATAACAATAACAATTGTGGAGGGAAATGTTTGGCATCAGATCCAATAGCAAACTACCCGGTCATTCTCAGTACAGGCTTCCTTTTCCTTCAGAAAGCACAAGGCAATACCTGTACCTCAAAACCCACTTCTGTTAAATTAATACCAACTGAGAGTGACCCTACAAAACAAAGTAGAACTGTTTCCAAGACTGTAATTGTATGCAAGCCGACTGTCACAACTTTTTCCTGTAGAGCACCTACTGAGTGAGTTCCAACTATCAACCTTTCCATAAGCAGCCAAGTGCTTCACTACTGTGCCATCAAGGATCATTTCTGTACTTCGGGAACTAATTAAATAATGGTGCTTCTCATTTTCACTGCACTCAATGCATACTGCTTAAAGCATTAGTGACTCCAGTAGATACCAAGAAAAGTCTTCTTTGTTAGTGGAAATTACTGTGATGAGAGCCGGACAACTTGACTCCAGGAAATTGGTGCCACAGGCAGCTTTGAAAGGCAAGGCAAGTCATGGGAGCTAAGGTGTCACAGGACCCTCCTACACACATTGCAGATAATCTCTTGGAAAGAATTATACTAAGTCTAAGAGTTTCATAATTAGGAAATCACTCAGCTACAGTATAAAAACAACTCTTGTAAATTGGAATCATATTCATAAAACATCTGGAGAAGTTCCCCAAAGGAGAAATGATTACCAAAAAAGTATTGCTAAATAGATGGAAAAGATGCTGACTTCTATCATAATACAAAATCCAGTCAGTTTCCATTGTGCTAGAGAAATCAACAGATGCACTGTTTACCTTTAAGGAAGCCTGGAATCTATTTTAATTCAACCTTGAAGCCCAGAAGTTCTTAGGTAATAAGTACAGACATTGAAATTCCGTAACAACCACCCACTGTTTACAAACAGTTGTTTCTTCATAGATTTTTTTTTTCATCCACAAAATATATATCTGGTTAAAAGAGGGCTTTTAAAGCTGTCCTTTAAGAAATGTTGCAACATCAATGTTTCTTCAAACACGTGGCAGCCTGTAAAAATCATCACTTAGTTTTTAGGCTTTGCTTTGTGGCATGAACAATGAGAAAATATTATAAAAGGTCATTTTAACCCCCTTTATTTAATATTTAGCTTTGTGCTGTTGAGTTGTAATCAACTGACTCACAGTTAACCCTCCAGCAGGTTTTCAGAGGCAGAAATTACATGGGAGGAAATTGCCCTTCTTTCTTCTTCAGAGCTGCTGGTGGAATCAAACTTCATGCTTTTGAGTTGGCAGTGCAACGCCTTATCACTTGGCCACCAGAGCTCCCTATAATATACTAAATTATATATTCTACTATCATAAAAGGGAACTCTGGTGGCCTAGTGGCAAGAATTTGCACTGCAGTCTTGAAGATACACAGTTCAAGACCACCAGCCACTCTGAGGGAGAAGGATGGGCAATCTCCTCCTGTGTGATTAACTGACTCTGAAAACCCACCAGAGGGTCAGCTATGGGTCAGTTCCAACTCTACAAGAAACAACAACTATCATAAAACAATTTTAATAAATTTTTAATTTAGAAAATCTTTAATGTTCTAATTCGGAAAAACAGAAACTAAAATTATGCCAAAATTATCTGATAGTAACAATGGTTCTTTTATAGAAACTATAAACCATGTTCCTCCTCCTGTGCTCTGTATCACTTCTAATGGTTTCACCTTCCTTCTATCATGTAAGAAGCAATTTTTGGCTTAATCTTCAGTTTTTGTCTCATTACTCACACATAGTTGCATCTTGTTCTACCACTACCACGTCTGTTGTGTGTCCCTTTACATCCCCCCAGCTACTAACCTAATTCAAGGCCAAAGCAGGTTTGGAATATTTTTTTAATTTGCCTCCTAACTGACCTTTCTCTGATCTCTGCCGTTTCCATTCCATCTTATATACAGCAGCAAGAGTCATCTCGGCTCACCTATTCCTTTGCTGAAAATCTTTCGGTGTCAAGTCATGCCTTTAGAAAAAAAAAATGTAGCTTTACGCCTGCCATTTTCTCTTCCACTCTCCCCTCTGGAGCTAAAGCAAACAGGATTATTTACAGCTGTCTCACAAATAGTATATACACTTCTTTCCCTCCTTATATTTGGCTCAGGGTGTTTCCTTGTAACATACTGCAGACCTTCTCCACATTTCTACTTTTGAATGTTGGAATTGAGTCTTAAATATCCAGAGAGGCTCATCTTAAATGTCAGTTCTTCTAGGAAATGTTCATCTATCGGAGGAAACTTCTCCCACCTCCAGCAGTTTTGTTTATACTTCAAATCTAGCTTTTGTTATCACTCTTTCCTATCATTCTTTTGTGGACATGTCAATATCTCTTAGAAGACTACAAATCCCTTGAGGATAGATATCACTTATTGTTAATTTTTGTTGCCTGACAATACCTAACATAGCACCTTGCTCCGAGGTAAGTGTTCCATACACGCAGCATTGAACTGAACATACCTTGTCTCAGCCTGACATAAGTGAAAAGCAAAGGCTGTCAGGATTGCTAAGAAATTCTATCTGTAAGTACAGCTGTGCTGTTATAATTGCTGCATATTTAGAGAAAATAGTGAATGCATCTTTCAATCAAGCGTTGAAACTATAGTAACTATTCCAAGTTTGAATTACCCTATTAAGAAAATAAGTGGCACAGCAAGAACACTGAACTGTGTAGTAAAATAGTACCAATGAAGAAAAGATCTTTTACAGTAGATTCAGCTGCACAAGTTCAAACAATAAGCCACAAAGGCACTCTCTTTTTATTATCTTTAAAAAAAAACAAACCAAAAACCCGAACTAAAACCAACCAACCAGAATACAAAGAGGGCAATTATTAAGCCTATTAATGAAAACTGGCTGGGAGACACTGAGTAGAGCATTCGTTCTCAATAAGTCACTACTTGCTGCAGCTGGATTTGGATCTTCTTCCACTGAAAGGCTAAGGAGATTTTATGTCATTTGGCTTCCAAGTCTGACAAAATAAAAATTTGGAAGTAGCCCGACTCCTGCCAATTGTTTAGCACAGTCAATCCCTCTTCAATGTCCAGCACTCACAACTTTTTTTTGGTACCAGGTATTTGACCATATTGTACCAGAAATTAACACATTCTTAACAAATGCACACTACAAACACTGCTTTGACCAGGCTGATGAGAATGATAAAAATGCTGCCAACTCCTCAATCGCTAACCCACATCTTCTTAGGGGCTGAGGTACAGTGTTGTTTGATAAATTTAAGTGTTATTTCTATATCAACTCAGCCTCTCTAGGTAGTTTCATTCTTTTTTTTTTTTTTTAAGAGTTCAGGATTTTTTATTGAACATGTTACAAAAGGAGTTTAGTCAAAAACACCAAATCCCATGTCATCATTAGACTCTTCAGATTCTTCTTTCTTTGCTTCCACTTTCTTCTCAGCTGGAGCAGCAGCAGTGGGCAGGAGCGGCGCAGGTCCTCCAGCCGGTGAGGCCCCAGCTGCTGGGGCAGGTCCACCAGCGCCCACACTGCAGAGGAGGCTCCCAATGTTGACATTTGCCAGGGCCTTTGCAAACAGGCCAGACTAGAAAGGTTCAACGTTGACATTGCTGCCTTAATGAGGGCATTGATTTTATCCTCTGTGACTGTCACCTCATCATCGTGCAGGATGAGGGCCGAGTAGATGCAGGTGAGCTCAGAGACGGAGGCCATGGTGCGGTGGTAATAGGCTGAAGGCTGCCAGACGCAGTGCTAGTCGCTGGATGAAGTGAGGACCTCACCCCAATGCAGCCTTAGCTTCCTCGGAAGGACTGAGCACCTTAGCGGCAACTGAGGAAAGGGGTTGGTAGTTTCATTCTGTAACAGAAACAAAGCTCACCACCACCAGATGCTGTGATGTCAGTTCCAACTCATGACACCCCCCGCCCCATGTCATCGGAGAACTCTTGCTCCACAGGATTTTTTCATTGGTTTGTTTTGTAGTAGTTGATCACCAGGCCTTTCTTCTGAGGTATCTCTGAGTAGATTCAAATGTCTAACCTTTGTTTGTTTCGTAGCCATGCGGGTTAACTGTACTCCTAGGGAATCAAGCATAATCGGCTGGATATTAGGAAATGATTTCTGAAAAGCCATCTTAATTTCAAAAAGTGGCCAGGGGGTTCAAATTGCTGATATTTTGGTTAGCAGTCAATTGCTTACCTCCTGTGTCACCAGGGCTCTTTTATGAAGCAAATTGTTGTTGCTGCTGTTGTTGTGAGGTGCCACTGAGTCTCCTGTGAGTCACAGCGACCCTATGTACAATAGCCCTAAACCCTGCTTTATCCTGTGCCAATCTCACTGTCTCCGACACGCCTCCTCCCATTATCCCAGTCACTGAATCAATCCACCTCATTGAGGGTCTTCTTCTCCTGCACTGTCTCTCTACCCTCTCAAGCATGATGTCCCTCTCCAAGGACTGGTCACTCCATGCAACATGTCCAATGTATGTCAGAGGAAGCTTCAGAATCCTTGCCTCCAAGAGCAACCTGGTTTCACCCTCTCCAAGATGAAACTGTTTGTTCTCTTAGCAGTCCATGGTATGTTCAATACTCTTCTCCAGCACCAAATGTCAAAGGCATCAATTCTCCTTCTATCATCCCTAGTCATTGTCCAGCTCTCTGATGTATAACAAGTAATTGCAAAAACCATGGCCTGGATCAGGCACACCTTAGTCTTAAGACTCTTCAGTACTTTGGAAGGGTATCCAACAGCAGACTTTCCCAATGCAATTTGTCTTTTAATTTCCTGGCTGCTAATGCCAAGAGTGTTGATTGTGGAGCCAAGCAAACTAAAGCTATTCACAATCTCAATATCTTCACCATCTATCATGATGCTGCTAATCAACCCAGTGGTGAAAATCTTTTTTTTCTTGATATTAAGCTTCAATCCATATTAAAAGCAACAGTCCTTGACCTTTTTCAGCAAGTGTTTCAGCTTCTCCTCCGTTTCAGCAAGCAGGATTGTGTCATCTGCATAACACACATTGTTGATGAGTCTTCTTCCAGTCCTGATGCCACATTCCTCCTCATACAGCCCAGACTCCCGAATAATCTGTTCTGCATATAGATTGAAAAGGTATGGAGATAGGATACAACCCCCTAGCATACACTCTTTCCAATTTTGAACTATAAAAATGATGCAAATAGTAAGGGAAAAAAATCTCCTAATTTAAAATGAGAAAGAGAAAATAGAAGTTTATGTTGTTATTGTTGTTATGTGCCATCAAGTCACCTGCAACTCATAGCGACTCTATGTACAACAGCTCTGAGCCCTTCCCTGTCCTGAGCCAGTCTCACTGACTCTGACACACCTAACCCCATTACCCCAGTCACTGTATCAATCCATCTCATCTGGCATCTTCTTCTCCTGTGCTGTCCTTCCACCCTTCCAAGCATGATGTCCTTCTCCAAGAATCTGTCCCTCCTGGCCATGTGCCCAAAGTACATGAGATAGAGCTTCAAAATCCTAGCCTCCAAGGAGAAACTTGGTTTCACCCTCTCCAAGACAGCCCTTTTTGTTTTCTTGGTGGTCCATGATATGTTCACAACTCTTCTCCAGTACCACAACTCAAAGACATCAATTCTTCTGTCATCCTTAGCCACTGTCAAGCTTTCTGATGGACAACAAGTAATTGCGAAGATCATGGCCTGGATCAGGCACACCTCAGTCTCTAGACTGGCATTGTTGCTCTTATGTAGGTTATATATTTCAAAGTAAAATTCATTGCTGTTGAGTCAGAACTGACTTCAAGCTGACCCTCCAGTGGATTTTCCAAGGCTGTAAATCACATGGGAGGAGACTGCCTAACTTTCTCCTGCAGAGCTGCTGGTGGGTTGGAACCACCAGAGAGGTGTCTCCCTTGGGATAACAGTGCAACTCCCTACAGACTACACCACCAGAGTTCCCCCTTTATCTCTTGGTCTTGCTATGTGCCAATGAATCAGAACCAACTCACAGCTGATTTATATTAATTGTTATTGCACTTATGTGCCCATCAAGCTGACTGCAGCTCATTAGCAGCCCAATGAACAACAGATCTTGTGCGATCCTCACCATCTCTGATATACTGTGGCTCATTTTTCCAGTCACTATGTTAACCAATCTCGTTGAGGGTCCTCCTCTCTTTCTCTGACCCTCTACCTTTCGAAGCATGATATCCTCTTTTCAAGGGCTGGCCCCTTCTAACAACATGCCCAAAATAGATGAGACAAAGTTTTACCATCTTTGCTTCCAAGGAGCAGTCTGGTTTCACTTTCTCTAAGACAGATCTTGGCAGTCCACCGGATCTAGGCCCCCTAAAAGGAAATAATTTTTTCTAAATTTGTTTTCTTTTCCTATGACTTACATTTTCCAAGATTTCTTGTTCTCCTCCTTGTATAGACTGTGGCTTCTAACACTTTAATTTCTGACCATACTTACCCACATTCCCACATCTAGTAAATAACTACTTCAGCATATTAAAGAAGTGAACTCTTACTCAGAGATTTATTTGGATCTATGCCCAATTCCCCTATAGCTATTTAGGGAGCAAAAAGATGGGAATAATTTAGTTCAGGTCCTAAAGATGGAAAATATAAAACAAGTGCTGAAAACAGAGGCACCAGCAGTATGTTATGGGCATAGAAAGGAAGATACCTTAACTCCAGAGAGTTGGCATTACTGTTAGCCAGATCTTTTTAGAAACAGAAGAATCTGCAATGTGAAACTGGAGAGCTATGAATATTTACTAATTTATCTGCTTTGAAATTGAACATTTTTTTCTACCTTAGTCTTGAACTTAAAGGCAGAGGTTCTTAGTCTTAAAGGGTGATTCAGCCTCAATAAGAGAGAAGAACACCAGCAATCACTGTGACATTCATTGAGTTGGCAGAATTTCTGTTCTACACCATCACCCTTTCCTCGGCATCCTTTTCCTTCTTCTTCTTCAGCCTAGGACTTTACTCCTACAAGTGACAAATGGTATTCAAGTGCATTGTTGGGCCCCATTAACATTCCAGGAAAAGAAAAATGTCACTAATTTCTATGTTTCTAGCATTTCCAGTAATTCCCTGCATTTTCTTTCACAGCATCATTAACTTTCTCTGTGGCTATGATCAGTTTTTTTTTTTGTTTTTTTTTTTTTTTTTTTTTTTTTTTTTTTGTACGTGGGCCTTGAATAGTAAAATGACAATGTCTTATGCTGGCACAACTCTATTAAGAAACTTGGGACATGGACAATGCATCAACCAATACGCTATTAATTTTGTTAACATTAACAGGCAATATAGGAGTATGAAATGTGGAAGATCTTTTCACTATAATATTTTAACATATCTAACCTGGTAACAGGCTTCCAAAGATGTATTATTTGTTTCAGACAAAGAAAATGTGTTAGGAACAAAAATAGATATTCATAAGGCCTTGTAGTACTAATTTTCATTACTTTCATTAAGATTTTACTACCTAAAGGGAAAGTGCTGGTGGAGTTGCACTGATAACCCAACAGTGGCATCTCTCTGGTGGTTCATTGTTAATCTAAAGTGGCACATCTCTGATGGTTCAAATCCACTAGTGGCTCTGAGAAAGATAGATAGTCTCCTCTTGAATGATTTACAGCTTTGGAAAATCCAAAGGAGAATCAGCTATGAGATAGTTTTAACCCCACAGCAATGACTCTAACTTTTTATTTACCTTAAAATTGAGAAATACATGCATAAAAAGATTTGTAAAGGATTTTTTAGGAAGAAATCTTTTTTGCCTTTAAAATAATCTGCGATCTCCAAACTTCAACTGCAATAAAGACAGAGATACAATCTAGGTAATTTCATTTTGTATTAAAAATCCTACAATTATAAAAAAAAAATTCTAAAGATGGGGCCATTTCCCATGGCCAAATATACAGAATTCCTTTCTGAAATTCCTTCTGTCTTTTTTTAAACTCTGAGATTCCTTTCTTCATTTCTATGAAGGCAAAAAAATTATCTCATTTCTGACTGTATGTGTCTTACATTTAAATAATTTTTTTTGTTTTATAATAAGTTGGACCAAGAAACCTCAAATCGCAAACATGAAAGTAAGGTAATTAAATTGGGTCTACACTGCCAACTAACCTCGTATTTCCAAAATGGTGTTTCCCTTTTTAACAGCTGTAGAGAAAGCAAAACCAGGGCTTTATCTTTAGTTCCTTTATAGTCAATCTTTCTCATGCTTCTCAAAAGTCATAATGGATTTCTAAGGGTTTATACCTGGCTAAAGAGCAATGATGTCAGTCTACAGACTACAGCGCACCTGATCCAGACATGGCTCTCACAATTACTTGCTATGCATCAGAGAGCTGGACAATGACTAAGGATGACAGAAGAAAAAGAATCGATGCCTTTGAGGTATGGTGCTGGATGAAAGTCTTGAATATACCAGGGACCAACAAAGACAACAAATAGGTCTGTCTTAGAGAGGATGAAACTAAGTTTTTCCTTGGAGGCAAGGATTTTGAAGCTCCATCTCACATACCTTGGGCACGTGGCCAGGAAGGGCCGGTCCCTGGAGAAGAACATCATGCTTGGAAGGGTGGAGAGACAGCACAGGAGAGGAAGACCCTCATTGCGACTCAGTGACCAGGGTCAAGTAAATAGGTGTGTCAGAGTCAGTAAGACTGGTTCAGAATAGAGTAGGGTTCAAGAGCTGTTGTACATAGG